ATTAGCATTTTTGTGCTTGACTTCCCCTGTTCTTGATCAATCCTGTTAAAACTTTTTATTTTATTTTTTTTTTACTGTGTCCCTCTGGTGACGATAGCAGTAGGAAATAGGTAAGCACATATCTCTGCCAAAACAAAGAAAAATGTAAGCCTTTTAATAAATCTGAATATTTAGGGCATATGGGCCTCAGGTGGTTGTTGCTTATAAAGTAGGACAAAGAAAGGCAAGCTCAACACTGCTGGAGCAGCAGAGGGACGTGGCTCTGGAGAATAAGGCTGGATCTGTGACCGTCAGCTTCTGTAGCCAACCTCCACTTGAAGTAATCGGAAATACCCTTCCCCTTCCCTTGTCCATGGGCTCATCTACTGGTGCTGGAGCTTCTACCCCGCTGCAGTCAGGTCCTGTTGGCTGCAGGATGCTGCTGTCCCCGCTCCCCCATCTCACCTTCTCGGCGGGAGTGGAGCTCTGGTGAAGAAACGCTGCCTGGTCCACGCTCACGCTGTGTTGGGGCAGCTCCGGAGCATAGGAGGGCACTTCGTGTAGTGAACCCGTGCCTCATTGCTTTGAGCATCGCGTGCTGGAGTTAGAGGTTGCTGGTCAGGGAATTAACTGAAAGCTTTGTAGTTGTGGGCAGGAAGAATAAATTTGTATGGTTTTTATTTTTTCTTTGCTTAAAATGGACTGAGTTGTCCTTTTGAATAAGGTAAATTTTATCAAAAACACCTGCTATCACTACCAGTTTCTCTGCTCTAAGAATATTCTCCAGAACCCTTAAAATATGTTTGGGTAAAGTACTGACCTAAGATGTGGTCTTTCCAAGAGGAGGAACTGCAGGCTTTTTGATCTAAGCCAGGCAAATAATACAGAATAGACTACAGACTTCAAAAGTAGAATAAAGTCTGTATTTCTAAAGACTTTTTTGAGACAAGTTTGAAAAATTAGTTCCAACCATAGATGATGGTGTGGCTGATAGGGAGAAGAAAAACCAGAGGTGTGGTATAGGTGTGTCCAGATGGGAGTAGCACTTAATAGGGAGAGTGAAGGTGACAGTGGCCAGAAGAGGACCTGTGCACCTTTCCCAAAGGGAGGTCAGGAGGACATCCCCTCACCAGAAAGTTGTTAGTAGGGCAGAATTGCACGAAGAGCTTAAACTGTGGATTCAGTCCCATAAGGAAACACAGGTCCTAAGGGGGAGTCAGCAGCTGGCTGAGGAAACAGGACAGTAGGAGATTGGGTGTTGTGTTGATTTGGGAAACTTGCGTAGCCTTGGACTCGTCTTGGACCTGCTTTTGCTCATCTTCTGGAGCTTAAACCCAGCGTTTCCTTGCAGAGAGCTCAGACTGAGGAAGATGTGGTAGTTTCTTAACACCATTAAATGATTATCAAAAAAGCAGTAAATTCATCAGCAAAACCAAGGAAGGATTCAGCAAGAGTGAGGGTAGTAACTAAGTTTAATTTGAGCTTGGCTATTAAAGAAAAGGACAATTTTTAAATACCAGGCTGGCTAGGTTAGGGTAGTGCAGGGCTCAAGGGAAACCATTCTCCCTGCTGAGGAAGCAGGGAGACGTGAAGCTGTGAGACATGGAGTGGTGGTAAAAGATCTGTCCCCAAAGTCCTCTAACTTCTGCTGCTTATGTCTCAGCTGGTTCATTGTAATTCAGGTATTGGCGTGTGTTTAGATTTACAAAGACTTGAAATAAAGGATCCAAAACTGCTTGGTCTCACGTGCAGACTGGGCTGACACAAATATATCCGTCCAGAAGTTGGGGAGAAGGCATTTGGAGACTGGGGTGTGGGATTAGAGGAAAGAAGAAATCTTCATAGCTGATGTAGGAGATGATCTTAAAACTGACTGAGATTTAATTACACCTAATAACAGTATAAGCAGCATCAGGGATTATAACTTCAGTCTGCAGAAAATCACCTTGGCAATGGTGGAATAAGTGGTTTGTGAACAATCAATGTGTAACAAACAAGTTATTCTCCTCTCTGAGTGCAAATACTGTTGAACAGCTGTGTGCAGGTTCAACTTTCCAGCAGAGAAAGCTGGGAAAGACTGGGGCAGTCTTATGGCATCAACTCACATGTGATGCTGACTAAATGCAGATGGCTTAAGTGGTTCCTGTCTTCAGTTTTATGCTTTGCCTCTTTCTCAAAGACTGCTGTTGCTGCAGTGGTGCTGGCTGAGTGATATATGAAATATGTGTGTTTACATTTGTAAGCCAAACTGTAAAAATGTGTTTGGGAGCAGAGTCACATAAGCCAGCACTTGTAGCTGCTAAAATTCTTGTGGATGGGAAGTACGAGCGGAGCATTCCTTGTTTGCTGGATGCAGCTGAGAAGCGGTAAGTGGTAAAAATGACTGTGATTCAAAATGGGCAGACAAAAAGTCCAAAGTTTTATTTATTAGGGCTTTCCATGTTGAAAACCTGTTAAATTGGATCAGGTAGAAAAAAGCATATCAGTAATTGCAAGAGTGTGGTTTAGCATGGCTAGAAATGGCAGGGATTCTCATGACTGTTCCTGTCCTTTGCCTACCTGTGAAAACTTTCATCTTAGGCACAAAATGCCGACAGCTGGGGGCATTATTGACAAAATTATTTGGAGCAAACGTTAGTTTTTCAGAGCAGCAGTCTGAGTCGCTGGGGGGGACACAACATTGATACAGAAGAGCTAGAAGAAGTTAAAACTACAGACTATTTGCAGGAACTTTGGGATTAGCTCTGGGTCTAGACTCTGACATCTTGACACCAACTTGGCAAACACTTACAACAACTGCTGTAGTGTGATTTTGCTATTCTGTGCCGGGGCCTGGGCAGGAGCATGTTAGTCCTGTTGCCACACACATAGAAGAGCCTTGTTGGAAGGCTGACAGCAAACACTAAGGATCAGCTTCTCCAGCATTATCAGGAACCTGTGGTCATTTTTTTCCTCATATGTTGCAGAAGTGCAAATATTAGTGATTCATCCACAGCAGGATAAAGGAGTAGGGACAGTCAGTGTAGTCTTGCAGGAGTGGACTACAGAGCAGCTGAATCCTTCTCAGAGAGTAGATTTTCATACTAAGATATTAGGTAATTGGAAAATCATCTGGCAGTGTTGGTCTCCAGAAAATGTAGCATCTCCGTGTCATCCCTAGGGAAAGGTCTTCTGAGTCCAGAGGAATTTGGCATTCTGAGTCAAATACTCCTCTTCAGGTGAGAGGACCTGCTGAGTGACGGATTCAGGTATTAGCTGATTACAGCAGACATCCAAGACCTTCCCAGTACTTGATGATGGCCATATGGCTGCTGTGCTCTTTGCAAAAGCCTTGGCTGAAGGAAAGGATCATTTCTATGGATATAATCAGAACACAGCAGGAACCATCATCAGCGTTTCAGTTCCAGGCACTGATGTGTTACAGAAGACAGTCATGAGAGCTAAGCTGTCGTGCGGCATGGGAGAGTGTTCATCGGCATCTGTGTGGGTTCTTGGATCAGCCAGAAAGCAGCTGTGAACTATTTCATGGACAAGTTCAAGGTTTGCTTACTAAAATATCAAGAAGCTTTGACTGTAGCACAGTTTCCAGTTAATGAGCCTTCCAGCTGATGGGTAATATGGGATTCTAGAAAAGCTGGCTGACATGCAGCCAGCATGTCCTATTCCTCTTGGTGGCTTACTGATCAACAGTTGATGGAAAACATTAGGTAGCTGAACACTTCTCATATTGGGCTTTAAATGAAGACTTGATCTGATCGGTTAAATAGAGCTCCTGGCAAGACACAGAGGAAACTCTAGAAACCCCACAATGCAGAATAGAGGGGAGAAAAGTGTCTTTTTGTAAGAACAAATTTAACTTGATCTCTAGGAAATGAGAAGATGGTTTTGGATGATCAGTTGTATGTTTGAAAGCAAACGTTTACAAGAAGCTGTCTGCTTTGATTCCACTGTCCCACAAGGGTGGAAAGCAAAAGTCTGCTAAACCTAGTGGGTTTAGTAGTTTTATTTTGGTACATTCACTCTTCAGTAATCGTACATTGGCAGGAATAGAGTTACTTTGGGGGAAAAAAAAAGATAGTATATACATTTTTACAGACAAAGAAAATCCTGCATTGTCTAAAAAAACATGACTCCTTGAGTGATGGGTCACTGAAGCCTGGTTTCTGGTGGCATCCATTGTTCTCCATATCCTCTCCTCCCTCTCCTGGAAAGCTGGCCGTCCTCCTCTCCCTTCTTACCCTTCCCCATGCTCTGTCCTCTGACTTAGGGCTGGTTCCCAGCAAGACCGAGCTAAGGCAGCGATGGGTCCCTCTCTTCCTACTGCACTGTCCTGCTGGCTCCAGTGCCGATCACACCTGCAAAAAAAGTCTTCTCTTTTTTTTTTTTTTTTTTTTTTTTCCCCCTGCACTGTTTTTCTGCCAATTTGCTGATTATTTTAAATAACTGGTTTATAATCTGACCTGCAAAAATTTAGGATCAGTCTTTTGGAGAGAGTACAGGAAGGTTAATAGCATTAACCAGAAGCAACAAAGAAAAAATTGCATCCCTTAGCTCCAGTTCATAGTTGTTCCTCACCCTACAGAGAGCAATGTATGTTATTAATGCTACTAGTAATCTTACCTGATTTTGCATCTCTATGTCTTCATCCGAGGGAAAAAAAACCTTAAGTACACAATTAGCTCTAAGGATATGAATAGCTGAAATTCTGAAGAAAAAGAAAAGGGGAGCAGAGTCAAGCTTATGGAGGGTCACAATAATCCTGACAATTTTGTACGAAGATAGATTCTCTTTTCCTGCTGCTTTTCCTATTTACACTGAGATGGTTTGCCTAAAGTAGCCACTTGACATGCTCAGGTTGCCAGAAGACAAAAGCTTTGAGAACTCTGCTCAGCACCTTGCTTTTGTTACTGTTCTGGCTTAGGGTTTGGGCTGGAATTAAAAAAAAAAACAAAAACAAAACCACTAGAAAAAAGTTAAATATTTGCTGATGTGTTTCCTGCCTCCCATTCACTGTGTTTCAGAAAATCTTCAGAAGAACTGGACATGGATAAAGTAACAGCAGCCATGGTACTCACCAGTTTATCCACCAGCCCCTTGGTCCGCAGCCCTCCTGTCCGACCCAACGGTAAGCCTTCAGAGCAGTGCCTGGGCAGGGGCTGCAGGGAGGGGTGCCAGGGCTGGGGGGGGGGCTTGTTTCCAGTTGCGGCTGTGGTGGAGGACACAGGGTGAGTGGCTGTCTTCGGGCAGTGACCTCTGCATGCTGGGGATCATCCTGAGCTTTGCTCTGACCTAGTCCAGGTCTTTGGTGCAGCGTTGGCAGAAATGAGAAGGAGTCTTTTCCATAACTGTAGAGCAGCTCCAGTTTATGAAACGGGAGATGCCCTGTTTCATAAGTGGAGATGAGCGCTGCAGAAGGTCTACTGCCCTCACTGAAATGCTAATTTTTCAAAGAGCTTATTTGCATTTGCACATACGCAGTAAACATGACAGCAGTTGTTCTTGTCCCCACCCTGTGGAAATCGGATCAGATTTTACTCAACACTACAACGAGGCAAAGCACTTCCAGACCACAGCCCTCGGCCGAGAGGCCGTGCACTAGTGGTCTGCACCGTGACAGGTCTGTTTCTGCCAATGCAGGATTAGACCCTCAATTCCTGTGCCCTTTGTAACTCTCTGATGGTCTACCATCAGGTCCATAATCCCTTAAAAGACTACTCCGTTCGTGGTATAGCAGAAGATAGACAAATAAAAATAAATCTAAAAAGTTAGTGGTAATAATGAAATATAATTATTCTGTGCAAGCTTGACTGGAGTTACAAGAAATTTTTAACAGTGTTATATTTTAAGGAATAATTTAAATTAGGACACCCTTGTTAGGATGTCTCACCATTGTTTGTATGACTCTGGTTTTTCTTACTCACTTGTAACTGTTAAACAGCACTAGATGCCCTCCTACTGTAAATAACTGGAGGACTTTGAGGAATACTTACAGATGTGAATTAATAGGGAAGTAGTCTTTGCATTTCTTCATGGAAGCAGGGGCGATCCACTGAATGATGTACTTAAAAGGAATTTGAATTAAACATCCCAGCTTTAAAGATATTTGAACAAATAGTCTGGTTTTTCCATTTCTTTCCAGAAAATGTAAGTTTTACCCATTTAGCTGGAATTCTAGCCATGAACCCCCATGGCTCCTGTTTGTGTGCTTTCCAATGTTGAAAACCAGACATATTTATGGAGTACCACTGCTCTGAGGAGCCCTGGGAAACCTCCGGCAGTGACATCCCTAGTGACTGTCTTGTCTCAGGGCTGGAAGTTGCTAGCCCCCAGGGAAGGCCAATGGAAGGGTGAAAGCATACCTGCTATCCAGCTGCTCAGCTCTCAGCCAAAACCACAGATGAAGACGGATTCATGCTGATGTGCCAGGCAGGGATTTGGAGCGGCCGAGGCACGCACATGTCCCACATCGCATCCCTGGTCACGAGGAGCTACTCTGGTGTGGGGCAAGGCAGAATCTGCCACCTTTGACAGTTTGAGCAGCTGACCCTTGTCAGGAGCCGTAGTGCACATTAGCTGGCAGCTGTCAATTGGAAAGATCTTCCAAACAAGTCCTTTTGAATTGCTAATAGGTAAATGGTAGCTGTTAACTGCCTTTGATATTTCTTCATGCAGTCTGAGTGCTCTTTGATGTTTCTTCAGGTAGCTTGTCTGCTTGTTTCCTGAAATCTGGGAAGACTAGCCTGAAAAAGTAATTCACATGTTTTCAGTAGTCACAGACAACATTTTGAAGCTGTTGTCGGGCACCTTCTCCCTGAATATCTTAGCTTTGCCTGAGTGAAGACTTACTAAAGACTTAAATAAAAGTGCAAAGATTTGATAACTTAAAGCTCATTTGGTATTGCAAGTCTAGGCTCTGATCTTAGTAATATGAGCTACAAGTGTACTAATGATTAATTCTTTCTACATGCTTTTCCAAAAAAGGGCAGTAAGTAGCAGTGTAATTACAGGAACATTTGTTTAAGCAAATGGAACTTTGCCTAGAAGTAAAAAAAATAACATCAGCATTAATATTAAAGTCTGATCTGTGCTGGAATTACTGGGGACAATCACCCATGTAAACTGGATCAGAGTTTGGCCCTTGTTTCCTTGCAGCTGAGTAATATATGGTCTGGTTCTCTTTCACGCAACTCCAGCAATGTGAAAAGAGCCCCAAAATAAGAGTAAGTTGCATTTATTTATATTTTAAACTTCTTTACATTGACAGATTTGTTAGTATTAATGAGAACCAGTGTTTGGTTTTTTTCTGTTGTCAGCCTCATTCAGTCTTTTCCATACTACTTTAAAAATGTTCTTGATTTACATCTCTTTCTCAGCAAGGTGAGGAGAAGCTGTAAACCTTGAGAATACAAAGTGCCACCATAAATGTGTCAGAAAGTAGTAGTTGAAAGAGTGCCGTTTCTTTTGTTTTTCTGAAGAAATGGAAATTTTAAGCTATGCTAAGGTCACAAGTTGATACCAGATGTACTTCTTGGCTTTGGCACAAGACTCAAGTACAAATACTTAAAAGAAACAAAAACCACCTCCATTACAGTCACATGAAGGCTGTAACCATGAACGAAAACATGACATTTTCATATGTTAACTTATTAGCTACTGGAAATGTGTATGTTCTTTTCCAAAGAGGAATTTGGGGGTGGAGGGAGGGTTGATTCCATTTATGCTCTGTGGCCCCCATCAGCTGCCTACACAAGGGGGTACTTTCATGCATGTGCTTACGTGATGGAGCACTGCATTCTGTTTTGTGAGCAGCTGATGTTAATGATTAAGGGTTTCATCCAAAACCAACTGAATCAGGAGAAAGAAAATAAAAATTCATTGGTTTTGGGTTAAGCTTTTGGTCGCAGGTGGTAGACATTATTTTCTTGCTGATGTCATTAGTTAAATTTATCTGTAAGAAATTGAGAAGGAATGAAGGACTGACTTCTGCAGAACTCTTAAAGGCAGGCGCTGGCTTGGAAAGACTCCTGTCTCACACTGTAGAGTTTCACAAACAGATAAGATGTTATTTGCTTGCCAGCTCCAAAGTTGGATATTGCACAGTACTGAGGCACCTACAGTGTCATTGGGAAAAGCTTCCAGTGCCTGACTTGAGGAGTTGCTGCACCTAAACCATCCCTGCACGTGTGCCCGAGCCCTGGGAGAACCTGAAGCTTTCGGCAGAGCTGCCCATGGTTGCACTGCTGGACACGCTCAGGCCATACCTTTGCAGAGCTGATGACCTACATACTCCTCTCCTGCCAGAAGCCCTTTAGGGATTGGGAAGAGTGACATGCCAATGTCTAACGCCTGAGGACCTCAGGAAGTGAAGCATGGCTCAAGCCGTGCCTCAGGCTGCGAAAGCAATGCCGTTACTCCCACCCACCATGTTGTAGAGTAACCCGTTAGTTTGAGTGTCTGCTTACCACCTAATGTCAGGGGAACTGCCGCAGTGAGGAGGGGGTTCCTCCAGCGAGTAGGTGTGGAGGTGTGCCAGTGTCTGTGCGTCCCACTTCTGAAACCAGATGCCCAACAATACACCTGTATGAAGAAAAAGGGATATCCTTCCAAGGATACATACCACCTCATTTAGAGATTCAAAGTAGGCAGAGGCATGTGCACTGGGAGATTATGAGAAGACAGAGTGTAATTATGGTTTTCTTTGGTGTTTTAGTACTGGGATGACAATCATGGTTTTGCAGATCTGCTTAGTGTCCTGGGGCTCAGAGTGTATGTCCCCTTCCCAGGGGATCTCCTGTTGGCCCGTGCAGTGGCTTGGAGCTTGCTCTGATGCCCCACCACAGTCGTGTGTTCCTGTTGAAAGTTGAGGATGGATTTGAAAGTTTTCCCTTAATCATGCATGCAATATCTGACTGCTTATTGCGGTTTGTGCTCCAGAACGGGTTATTTTTCCAAACCCATCGTTTCTTTATAGAAAAATAATTTGTTTTTTAAAAAAAACTGAAAAATCAAGTGTGGAAAGTATAATTCGTGTGCAGTGGGATAGATGTGGTTGTCCTCTCTAGACCCAATGCTTTTGTTTTCCGTTATTGAACTTCAAGTTAATTACCAACATGGCATCTAAGCCTTGGATAAAAGAGCTCCTTAGCCCTAACACATGATGCTGTTGTAATCATGGCTCTTGTTGTTCTTGACAGAATCCCTAAATGGATCTTGGAAAGAAGGAGGATTTGTGCCTTCTAGTACCAGCAGCAGTGGATACTGGAGCTGGAACGCTCCCAGTGACCAGTCCAACCCATCCACCCCATCTCCACCTCTGTCAGCGGATAGCTTCAAAGCTTTTCGGACACCTTCTCAGCCAGATGATGGTATTGATGAAGCTGAAACAAGCAACCTTCTCTTTGATGAACCCATTCCTAGGAAGAGAAAGGTTAGCCTCATGTTAAATTCCATATGCATGGGCAGGTGGGATGTTGCTAGACTTATTTTGCCATGAGAAAGGAAGAGGTCACCCAAACAGCTCTGTATGTGTATCCCTCGTTGGCATCCAGTTAACATAGGTACTTAGCCTAGTCACTATGTCTTGTTCAACCTAGTCACCTACTGCACACACGTTCTGCCATCAGCACCACATATTTGCTGGCAGATGGTGAGGTTCTACAGAGCCTCCTGCTCAGAAAACACTAGAGTGATTTCCAGAAGGTGTTGCCTCTGGCCATTCAAGGGATTTCTGTCCTACTTTGGCAAGTTTTTTGTATGCAGGATGCAACAGGCAGCCTTTACATGTCATCACAAAAACTGGATATGGCCTTAATACTTCTTGTTCCCTGAAAGTGCTGTTTGTCTGACAGCATGTCAGATACCTTAATACTGTGAAGCTTTCTCTGTGCAAACATATGGAGTGAAAAAAGGAGAGAGAGATCAAACCTGATGGCTTTTGATACAGTATTAGCAGTGGCCAAATTTATCCTTAGTAGGAGTGCAAAAGCAGACTAAATAAAACACAACGTAAAAAAAAAAAAAAAAGTCCAAAACTAACCCCCAAAAAGCACCGTTATGCTAGCAAGCAAGCTCCTCTCGAAGAAAAAAGAAAACAAAGAGATGGCACTAGTCCAAGTTTCCTTCCCTCCCAACGCAACAGGACAGATTTTACATAGCAAGATGAAAAAGGGCTTTTTGTAAGGAGAAAAAACAGAGAATTTATTCTTCTTAGTGACTTTGTTTCTGGCTCAGTCTGAGACAGTTAATTGCTTCATCACCAGCAGGAAGAAGTTTTAATGATTGTTTCAACCTGCTCAGATTTATCCTTTTGCTCCAGAAGTTGCTTATTTGCCGACCCACGCTGTTCTGCCCCTGTTTGTCGAAGAGGGGTGTAAAATGTTTGTGCTTCTTGCTAAAAAGGAAAAAAAAATATTTGGAGGAAACCTTTGCTATAATAATTTAGAAGTTAGAGGTGACTGTTAAACTAAAGACAGAGATGATTTTGAGGGGTGTGGGATAGGAGGAGTAGGAATGCAGAAGTGTGCTGGTTTGCCTGTTACTTCTCAGTTAAAGTTCAGCTTATTAGCATCACTCTTATTGCTCAGCTGTGATGAGACAGATGGGTTTGCAGCTGCCATCTTTATTGTTTTCTAAGTTGTCTTCGAATATTTCTATTTATGTACCCACCACAGATCTATTACACTATCTGTTCCGGTTTGCAGGGATTTTGCCCTGTATGGCAAATGTTTAATTTAGATAAATAATAACACTACCTGCCAAACTTTGTTTTATAAATGAACTGCGTTTCCTGCAGACTTTTTTAGTCTGGCCCCAGCATAGTACTTTATCTGAGTACAGCTTTGCACCTTTAGAAGCTGAAATAAAAATGTTCAGGTTATTTCTTCTTCCAGGCTGCAAAAATCAGAAAGAATAAACTTGGAAATAGAGTGATTGGTAACCTTACTTTTACTCTTTAAAGTTTCTTCCATTTCATGTTTGGAAAATGTCATGTTAGCAACCAATTCCCATTAAGAAAGTTGTTTGCTTAAAGGTTTCCACTAATGTAGTTACTCCTCACCAAACCATTTATGTTCCATTATTTTCTTAAATAAAACATTAAGCCTGATTAGGCAATTTTTGGACTAGTCAGAAATGGAAGCATGGTTTATGTTCTGTATTTCTACTGAGTGAGATTTCATTGGGTTACATTAAAATGCATGGGTTTTTGCAGACTCCTAGCACTGACGATAAAGCCAAAACCACAGCGGAGCTACGAGATTGGTTTTACCATCAAACTGGAGATTGGTATTAAACCATTCTGTGTTCATAAAGATGCATATGGTGTTCATGATGTCATATCGGAATTCCTAAGATGTAAATGATAAGCATGGTCTTCATCTTGTTGCTGTGGTTGGTTGTGGGGTTTTGAGCTGATGATAGTATTTTGTATTATATAATAAAAGTGAGAAATGTATCATATCAGAATTGCTAGATAGATTATATTTAATTTTAGGAAAAACGAGTTCTGTATCTATTTGAATGGTAGTTGTATTATCAGATCAAAAAATTATAGAGGGAATTTATGTGTAATTTATTCCAGAGTAGATGGTTTTCATACAAACAGCATGATCACGTACCTCAAATCTTAAAGCCCTTAGCATCCGTACTTTCAAACAGATGTTAGACTGCCAAGTAACTATGAGAATGTGCTACTACAATCAACTTACATTTTAAAAAGCCCACCAACTGAGATTTTTAAAAATTATATTCTAACCATCCTCTTTCTAGCAAATGCTGAAACTTACCATCTACTGTCATGCAGTTCCAAAGGGTCCAAATTGAAGAAAGGACCAAGTCAACTTTTGTTCAAGAAAAAGTGAAGCATGGACTTAACTCTAAGGATGTGCTTGTTCCCTTTTTTTTTTTTCTTTTCAAATGAGCTTTATATGAATATATTCTTCTAATCTTACATGTAACTGAAATTATAGGATAATAATACAGTATTTTGAAGCTCTTCCTCATGTTTTCTTTAATAATGTGTTCTGTAACAATAGAGAAAATTATTTTTGAGAAGCACAAATCATTTAGATTTTTTTTTTAATTTAGAATTTACAAAGTAGATTTCATTTGGGGGTAAAATTAGCTTTTAAAAAACCTACAGCTCTACACCTTCTGTGTTGTTTGTTACCCCGTACTGTGCTTTAAATTAAGACATTTTCTCCAGAGTCTTCAAAATATTGAAGATTGGGCTGGTTATAGCCTTGTTGGCTGTGCTCTAAATCAATGATAACTCAGTTTAGGCCAATGAAGTTATATTAAAGAATATAACAAGAATATTAAAATGAGATTATACACATATTCTTTTAGAAATGCTGAACACAGCCAGATGGCTTCTCATTCTCTTGTCCATGTAAGGGTCACAGCAGCTTCTGAACAAAACAAAAGGAGGTTTTGCCAGCTCATGGGTGAACATCGTCATAGCAGAAGCTATGGTTTTCTGGCACAACATTTTTTATGTGTTGCAAAATTCATCAGCAGAAGTCTACATAAGAGCTTGCTTTAGGAAGATCGTAATTTAAGAAGATGCCTTGCATTAAATGAGAAGTCCTGATCAGTTGTTCTTTGAAAGGCTCCAAAGAAGTGTAGGAAGTTTTTATATCGTCTACCTCCTTTAGCGGGGAGACAGAAACTGGAACTTGTAAGTGAAAAAGCCATGCCAAAGAGCGGAGAGGTAAAGTTTTGTCACAAGCTGCTCCTGCAGCTTTTCACTGGGATTCTGTTGAGTTCAGTAGGATGACATTGTTGACAGAGACTATTACATCATTACAAATTTGGAGTTAGAGGCTCTGAACCTTCACAGTGTTTTGTAACTGTATATCTGGTTTGGGTGGTTTGGTTTTCTTTCTATCTTCCATAAAACTAATATTGCTTTACTCATAATTTTCAGAACTCCATGAAGGTGATGTTCAAATGCCTGTGGAAAAACTGTGGGAAGGTACTGAGCACAGCTGCAGGGATTCAGAAACACATACGGACCATTCACCTTGGGTAAGAGAGCAGTCTCTTCGGAAGTCTGAAGGGTTTGGTATAGAAGGGGAGCGGTCACACTTGGCTGGGGAGATGAACTGGGTTGTCCTTGGCTTTTCTATCTCAGATCCCTAGGTTTCTGAGGAAATTGCAGAGTAGTGCGTCAAGGTGAACAAGAACTTATTCCAACAGCGAGGCATTTTCTTTCCCGAACTTTTGTGAACTTCGCTAGAAGGTCAAATACAGCTCTAGGTCACACTGCACTTTCCTCACGGCCGCACAACTCAGTGGCATTTACTTTGTATGTGTTATCTGCACATCACATCCGAGCTGACGCTGTGCGAAAGACAGCAGGTTTCAGGGTCTTGTGTGAATACTTTCCAAGCCTTGTTTCACATCAGATCAGATTCTTGCGCTAGTTCTGAGCCAAATTAATGCAAAAAACCCCAAACAAACCACCTAAGAAACCGAAACTGAGCTGCAATTCCATGAGTTACTTGGACGAGAAGCAAAAGGGAATGAAACTTGTACAACACAAGCTTGTTTCAGAGCTTTAGTTTGCAACTGAAATCTGTGCAATTCACTGAGTGACCTAGCTGTCTCATATATAGTTATAGTGGGGACCCACGGTCTTCACCTGTTAGTTATGTGGAAATATATCTCTGTTGTGTAAGTCTGTGTTACCCAGTGCTTAAAAATTAAAGTGACCATGAGGAAGTAGTCTGGTGTGGAGCCCAGGAGAGTCTTGCAAAGGTCATAGTAATTGCTGTTGGGGTTAGGCTTTGAAGAGTGAACAGCGAAACAGCGAAAACCTCTCAAAATGCAGTTATGAATGTTGCTTTGTCCTTTTTGTGGCATGGGAGAGGGAGAAGTAAACAGCAGAACTTCCCTGGAATTTGGAGTTTGTAACTTTGCCAGAGAGAGGAGTTCTGGTGAGTGACTGGCTGTGGTCTGATGGATGGCACTTCTGGTAGAGCCTTTCAAACCTGCTGAACCCATGCTCTCTCAATGAGTTCTATTGAGTAAGGTGATGAGAGGACCACAGGTAGAGGTATACAGGGAAGCAGGCTGAAGAACTGTCATGGGGCTGGTTTTGGGGTGCATGTCTGGAAAAGGAGAGGCTCAGCATTCAGCCATGATAAGGCCATGCAGGCAGGAGGATGCTTAGGGCTCTCAGATTTCCCATATGGAAGATCCAGGAGAAAATACGCATGTATGAGCTGTGAATTACCTCTATAACATGTGGATTATGAATGTGCTAAAATAGTGGTTTGTTTTGGACTTCAGGATAATGTGTAGCCTACTGGGAATTACTGCTTTGACTGGGCTGCTTCACTCCTAGCACTTGCACTCAAACACGCAGCAGGTAGTGCCAGGGATGCAAGGGCAATGAAACCTTTTACATCTCTTCCTTCAGTAAGTCTACTTCTGGAGAGTAGGACCAGAAAGTCCAGCACTGGCAAGCCAGCCTGTGTATGTCCTTTCTCTACCTGTGTCCGAGTGAGTTGCATGGTGACACTGTTTTCTAGCAGCTTCTTCTGTTATGCCAAGGAAAGTTACGGTGAACTGTGGCCATAACTATATTTGGTTTAATTAAGTAACCTACGATGAGATTACATATTGTTTGCCGTAACATTAGTGAAGTATATCTTGCCCATGTTTGTTATCTTTACCCGTCCTTCTGTGGCTGCTCTGTCATTTCTGAAGTCAAAGTGCATAGAGCTTCTTGTTAACTTCAATAGTTAGGAATGAGAAGCTGATATTTAATCTCAAGGATAGAAGTTAAACATCTACTCCAAGGTCAAAGAATTAGTCAAGGATAACACAGAGAGAAAAAAAAAATCTAATTCCTACTTCTCTTCCCTTCAGACTAGATGATTTTTTTTTCCTCTTGTCCTTCCCTGCAGCCAGAATGCTGATAAAGTAGGTAGGGTTGAAACTGGGAATATTAATTTATTGACAGTATGAACGTATTTGCTCATGCATCTAGAACTTAAAATTTACCTTGGGGTTCTTGCTTTCATTTAATCAGTACTTCATTCTTTGTCTTGATACAGACGTGTAGGAGAGTCTGATTACAGCGATGGAGAGGAGGATTTTTACTATACAGAAATCAGGCTCAACACGGACTCAGTAGCTGATGGCTTAAGCAGTCTCTCCCCAGTCTCTCCATCTTTAGCATCTCCTCCTTCCTTTCCCACCCAAGATGCAATCCGTCCTGAAACTTCCTGTGCCAAAACCGAGACTAAATTGATGACACCTCTGAGCCGCTCAGCTCCTACCAACCTCTACCTCGTACACACGGACCATGCTTACCAGGTAACGCTAGTGAGAGTGAACTCCGTTGATTACACTAATGTCATTAATGTATAAAGAAATGTCAGATCACAGTGTTTGGGTTTTAAAAAGCCAAGTCTAGTTTTAATGAGTTGAAAAGTTTTCAGGGCAGCCCAAGGGGTTCGTCTCATTTAAATTTAGATGTCCACTTCTGAGCTAGTTGTTTGTTTGTTTGTGCTCCCCTTAGATTTTGGGGTGCTATTTATCCAGCCACATATAGGTGCATACTTCAGGTTGAGAAGAGTTGCTCTGTGTATCCCACTGCCTACAGTAGTTAATTCTCCAGTGACCATAAAGAGGGCCCAAGGTGATGTGCTCAGATATGGTCTCGGGCATTGTAAAAATTCTCATTCAGTCAGCTGAATCCCTCCCAGAGTCTTCATTTCAGCTCTCCTTGTACTGGATGTGTCTGTAGGCAAGTACCCAAGGGATGCCGGGAACAATTCATTTCCTTTATTTGTACAGTGCGAGATGTCAGTTTGCATATGTGAAGTAGAGCAGGAAGAATGAAAAGGCATATATGGTATCCTCCTACTCTTAGAGGTAGTGCTTTGCAAATGGCAAAAATCCAATCAGATCCAAAAACTGCTGTTCCAAAATCTTCCAACTAAGTTCAGACAGAAAGCATTAATTTTAAAAGCACACTAAAATTTGACATGTTTTGGTCTGGATACCATATGAGAAAAGAAGAATGGAGGCTTTGAAGTAGTGTGGTCCATGACCTGCATATGCACTGGAGACTTGAACTCTGTTAAATTTATCAGATGCAATAACTTTTGTATACAGCATTGTGCAGATGAAACCTTTTTGTTGTGTGTTTGGAGCAGGCCCACTAAAAGGGCAGAGGGAACCACAGAGAATTCACAGGCTCATTGAGGACTCTTGTGCATGGGTGCATCTCAGGTGGAAGCTGCATCGGGTGGCACACCAACCTCAGGACTGATCGAGCCAGCTAGGAGAAAGACTTTCTTCTCAGTCTAGCTTAAGCCCTGCCTCTCTGAGTGATGCACCAAGTCTAGGCTGCTGAGAAGAGTCTCACTTCATTTGGGATTTGCACTTACGACAGTCTTCCCTGCAATTTGGAGACTCAATCCTTTTTTTATAAGCAAGCAGCCTTGGCATAAAGCACTTGCCTAAGGAAATCCTAGTTCAGATGTTTAAGCCTCTTGAATTGGATTTGAACTGATGTATTCCATGACACAAGACTGCAAGTGTCTGATCCCTGTCTCCTTTTCACGTTGCTCTGGTTTCAATACGTCATTTCATCAGCGAGGTGTGACACAGTCCATGCTGTTCAAGGCTTTCTAGTTGGAAGCTGGAGGTGGAGTCCCTGCGCAAGCATTCTGGTTGTCCTTGGAAAGGAGGCAGCTTTTGCAGGGCAGGGCAGCGGCGTCCTGTGCGAGGGTCCCTCTAGCCCAGCAAGAAGAGCGCTCGCCAGGAGGCAGGCTGGAGATTCACCAGCAAGAGGAGGAATTGAGCCCAGCTTTCACTGACAGCATTTAGGCATTCTTGGGAGTAATCTGTTGTGTAAAAGGCAATAGAAGAGAAGGTGACGACAGCATCTGTAATACCACCATATTTCCTGCCATTTGCTTGCTGAAGTGAGCCATGTACAGAATTTCAAAACTTTTTTTACTTCTGGTATCTGTATCAAAACTGAAAGTATTGAATGGGAATGTAGTGATGAAGACAATCTCTCATATGAATGAGAACATGAAGGTGGACGTTACTTCACTGGCAGCGAAGAGGGAAAATTCACAGCTCAAGGAACTCGGATAAGGGAGGCTGAATAATGTTAATCCCAGGATTCCTGTTAAAAAAAGGAAAAAAATATGGAACCCAAAGCTGGGCTGCAAGAATCCTAAATAGATCTCTTAACTGCCATTTCCCATATGACTGGAAAATGGCAAATATAATACCTGTAGTACGAAGGGTGTAAAGGGGAAGTGAGCAGGCTAGTCCTGACTCTCTTCTCTGACCCAGTCCTATGGATGAGGAAAGATTTAGAAGAATAATGGAAGAAATTGTGGAAAGTACAGCAAACGAGGTGAACTGCAATGGAGGAACTCCAAAGAAAGATTATGCTAGAACAGTCTAATCTTCCTTGGAGAAGGTAGCTTCGTAAACAACAAAGAAGCGGTACAGAAGAATAAATCCCTCTGGATTCAAGGAGAGCATTTGATCTTAAAACATGTAGGCAGTATTTGTTGGGCTAGAGATGAGATTTAGTGTAGGAGAGAGAGCTGGGGAGCCAGGGAGAGCAGTGGTAAGTTATTTTGAAAGGACTATTGAACGTTATTAGTGCAGTTGAATGAAAAGCTGTATTTGGGCCTGATCTCATTAATCATTTTGGTACTAGACAAATACTATAATAAACTTTGCTGATAAAGAACTTGGGAGACGTCAGCAGTACAGGGATTTGTATAGCATGCTTACGTGACTGGGTGATCTTAAGAATAATCAGGTTTGGATGCAGTTTTATGGTAGAACATGCAATGTCCTGTACCTTAGGAACTAATGAGATTTTTCTGCTATAAACTGGGGTAGTTAGAAAATTATGTGAGGAGGAAACCTATGTTCATTAATCAAGCACAGAATGATCATGAGCCAACAACAATAGAGTTGTGAAGGAAAAAAAAGTTGTCAGCTTTCTTAGTTAAGAAATACCTAGGAGAGACAGGGATTTTTAAAGCCATTTTACAAGACCCCTGGATAACTTCAGCTGAGATCCTGAGTAGAGTTCCGGTCAACCAACTTCAAGGATGATGGGCTCCAATTAGAAGAGGTAGAAAGAAGGTGATCAGAGCGAAGAGAGAGGGCAGGGAAGACACGGAGGGCCTCTGCAGCCCAGGGACTGACAGCTTGGGCAAAGCAGGCGCAAGGAGAGGATGGGATTGCTGCCTGGGAAGAAAGTGAGAGGACAAACATGAGAGGGGAGGAGAATGAGCACGTGCTATCTCAGATATAAGGGCAATTGGCACAAATAAATAATTATAAATTAACCATGAATATATTTTGATTGGAAATTAGATGGAGGTCTCTAAGCAAAGTGCAATCAAGGTGTAGAAACTCTTCAGTTTGTTGTAATGTTATGGTTGCTTACCTTAGGGAAGAAATTGTCTAAAATGTTAGCCTGAAAAAGGTGACTGTGCTTGATCAGCAAAGACGCACGTCTGGGAAACAAATGAACAAGGTGATTGACTGTCTAAATCTGATCATGTCTGAGGTAGATATTTAGGCACTGAGAAAAAAGAATTGAGCACCATGGTATTTTAGGCAACTGCAAATTACAACAATTTTAAATTTCTCATTCTTCATGTTTCATTATGAAACTAGTGCCTGTACCTGTTAAATTTAGCTACAGAGGAACTACAGGCGGGCTCTTCCAGCGTCGAGGATTTCCCTTGCAGGTCTTATTCAAACACATGAGGAAGTCGCCGTGCTGACCCCGGCTTTGAGCTGATGTCCTGGTGGGATGCTGAGGAGGGGCAGTGCCACCTCGCTGGCCACCCAGCTGCCTCCAGTTGCTTCTGGCAGGAGTGCTGTGGTCGTTCCCTCCTTCCCGTTTGAACAGGGTTGTGATGAAGCACTACTGGTACCATCTGGAGGTGCCAAATTTTTCTTGATGCCTTTCAGCAAGGTTTTTATGTTTTGTGGAGCTCAGTGGACGTTAGCTCCACACGTCTGTACGGATTCTCTTGGCGCTGTCAGCAGGCTCGGCAGCCCGCAGAGCATCGCTGCCGCAGACGGAAGCATCCGGTGGTCTCGGTTTCTTTTCCTTGGAGAGACTCCAGGGATTGCTTCAGCACTTGTTTACTCTGAAGATTATCTTTAATGGGGACTATCAGGTTGTAGTTTGTCATCACTTCTCTCTGCCTGGCGGCTCAGGGAAGCGCTCTCTTCCCTGAAGTGGTGAGACAACTTCAGCAGCCTCAAACACAAACACTACTTAAATAAGTGTATTGCGTTATTGTCAGGCGCAGGCAACTGAAAGGCAGAAGTAAAAGCTCATTTTTAATAGCACTTTATTTATAAACCAAGGAGCCTTTTTTGTGGTGAAAGCTTGAAATTCAAGAGTCAAAGGGAGCCTGTGTTCATGGTGGCCACTCGTGCCCCTGCTAGGCAGGGTAACTGCAAAGGTGTGAATTTCCTGACTCTGTAAATTAAATGGGATTCAAATAGGATCAGGGAAGAATTCTTGAGGGCTCATAGCCCAGTGAGAAAACCAGAGGGAAGGCACAAGATGAAAGATGCTCAACAGTCTGAGCTCATTATCGGGTATTGCACCCCAGGGCAGCACTGGGTATTACAGCCCAGCTGGGAAGAACATAAAGAGTTCAAGGGGCCCAGGGGTCCTTCAAATGCTTGCTTTAGCTTAGTCTTTTAAGAGCTGGTTTTTTTGAATCCCAAGGATGATTTTCAGCTCCTTGTTTTTAATAGGAAAGACTGTTTTAATTGGGATGATTCTTAACATATATCTAATAAACAAGAAATGGCCATCCCTTACGGTTGATCATTAACCCTGTTGTCCAAGAAGCCTTGCCAACTGGTCTTCAGTTGTTTAAACCAGCTGCTATCAGTTTAAATACTGCCTTGTTTATCACTGTGGAACAGGTGATCATTTGTAACATTTTTTGCTGCTAGCTGGCATTATTTAAAAAATTATTTGTATGTGATGTTTGATTTTCTGTGGGTTTTTATCAGATCTAGCTTTTAAGGCTTTTGCATGGATTCTTATGAGAGCTATCGTCTTTCTCTAAACAAGGTTTTAAGAACAGTGATATATAAATATGTCCCTTCTTACTGGCTTATCCATGATTATCCCTCTCATAAGGGTAAAATGCTTGTCACCATGCAGTTCTTTTCCACCCCAGAAAGTCTCTCATAGCTTTACAGTTTCAAGGAGTGAAAGATCCCTTGAAATGCTTTTGAAGAGGAATGGTTCTTCTTACTGGAATAATATTTTCTTTTCACACAGGCCACTCCTCCGGTGAACATTCCAGGGTCAGCAAAATTCACTCCCAATGGCAGTAGCTTTAGCATCTCTTGGCAGTCGCCTCCAGTTACCTTCACCGGCATTCCAGTAAGTGAATGACAAAAAAAGAAAGAAAGAAAAAAATAATAAGTTTTTAGAACTTTTAGTTTTGTTTCACATTGTCTCACGATAGAAGTAAAATTGACATAACAGATACTGAAAAGAAACAAATTAAATATATGCCTAGTTTGCCAGCATGGCTGATTTTAACACTTTTGCCAGTCTCTTTAATTCAGTACAGTTACTTTTTTTTGCATCAGTGTCTACAAGCAGAAAATTGGATCTATAGTATACATTTTTTAAACTATATGCTTACAAAAGACTGTTCTGGTAGGTGCAGAGCGTGGCACTATAATATGCTCCTTCTTGTGCCACTAAAAGATTTCTTACAAAACTAGATGGAAAATCAGCAAGGTGATGGTTATGTTAACAGACTAAATGGATTCAAGCAGTAGGGCTGTTACCTAAATGAACTCTGAAGATGAAGCATATTTGAAAGGCAACTGAAAGAAACAATAAGATAAAATGCAAAGTCTGATTCTAGGAGGCTACATATATGTAGCCCCTACTGATAGCAGAAAATTGTTGCTTTATACAGAAAATACGTTTAATACATATCGTACTTTGATATTAATAATATTGCAGTTTGACAACTTTTTAATGAAGATGTATTAGATGTATGTATTAGATGTAAATTCAACTCTGACCCTTTCCTCAAAAAAGCTGGTGTACAAGGCCTAATTGCATGAACAGCACTGCAGAAGTGCAATGTTTGCTTAAACATGGACTTCCAGTAGTCCTAAACGTCACACAATGTAAGTGTAGATACTGTAGGGGGAGTTAAAAACCTTTACGAAGAGTTCAAAGGGATTAGGCTTCTAGTGCCTAGCATGGCGAATACTAAATGTAAATGTGAATCACTATTTATGGGTAATGGAAAATCTTCTGTACAATAAATAGAAATAAATATTAATGTAGCGTATCCTAATTTTTATTGGAAAGCATTTTTCAGTATAAATTGATATTCTCTAATCATAAACCTTTTTGATATCATAACATCTCACTTTAATATTACACTCTATGAATTTATGAATTTTAAAGTGTGTTATACACGGCACATTGCTCATCCAAAGAACCATATAGCTTTTTTTTCTCCTGACAGTGAATAGTAGACATGGCAATAAGAGATACTGTTTCCCTCCCTTTTCTTCACCAAGTGAATCTCTAAAGCTTCTTACTGTCAACCTTTGGCAAATCTTGGAGATTTTCTGCAGAGGCTGTGGCATCCTGCAGGGCTGATAAAAAAATGAAAGTGGCTGAATCAATTACACTGCACTCTGCCAATGAATATTTATTAAATTCCATCAAGGAACAACTAACAGTGAAAGACATCATGCTGGCAGCAATTTCAACAAGAGTGCCTTGACAGAGCATGCTATCCATAAAGTTCCTTGAGAATTTGATTTCCCAACAATGGGGTTGATACAGAGTAATTATGAAACTGGCTCCTTTTGTGGAGTAGCAGAAATTGGTGCCAGGAGTATTGGGAATCTAAAAATGCAATTAGCCACATTGTAAATCAGACGCTTAAGAGGACAGGATTAGACACCTATGCGTTGAGTTTACTTGTTCGAGCAACAATGTTGATCTGTGGCTGTAGAGTTGAGAGTTCTCAAAAGAATTTAAGAAATGCCAAATCACTTTCTGAGAATTGTATGGAGATGCCAATGATTTAAGTACAATTTAAAAATAATCCAAATACAAAGACCTGGGGAAGCAGTGATGATGGCAGAATTATAAACCGCTTAGGGAACCATACGAACTGCCTTTATATCTCTGTCTAACAACATTTATAAGGCTGTTCAGCAAAAAAAAAAAAAAACCAAACAAAAAAAAAAAACCTTGTAGGTTTACACACATTTGACTGTTCTGTCATCAGTGAGATCATTTATGAATTACAAAGGCTTGCCTGCAGTGGAAAATCATGTGCAGTGTGTGAGGGTGCAAATGCAAAGCGATGTTACTCTATATTAAATGAAAGTTTCATTTCTCCTGTTTCAAAGTAAATTATATACTGCCTTATATAAAAACAGGGCTCTGTCAACTCCTACCCTTACACTGAGTGTAACTACTTTAGGAAAGCTATAGTATAGGGGACTTTCTCCTTCTTTTACAAGGTTTATTTAAGCCCAGACTATGTGACAGAGCCAGCGTACTATAAACTCGTGCAACTGTATACATACATGGTCCCTGAGATTAGGTGCACATCTGTAGCACCCAAGGGAACTTCAGAGAGTAAGTCCAAACCATTACTTTCTGCCTGACCCTAAATATTTATTCAAATAGTTTTCTAAAATGGCTTTGGGATACTTTTTTTGGCCTGGACGAACCACTGAGCAGTAAAGGATTAGGTACAGATTTGCAAAAGTGCATAGCTCTACACATTTCTTCACATTACTAGTAATGTTGGAATGGGGCCATTCTGTCCTTGACCCATTAGAGGGCTCTTGAATCCTGGTTTTGAACAGGCTTCTTTCTAGACCCGTAGGTCAGCAGTTAAGTTCATGAGAGAGACAAAATTTCAAAATAGTTTTCTTTTGTGTTTTTTTTGACACCTGCCTTAGGTGTTTCCCCATTCATTCCTGTGCACATTGAATTTTGATGACACTGAGCACTCTGTGCTTGCTGTCCTGGGAATGGGGGTGTTCAGACAGACATCATGACTTGCATTAAGCCCTCACTTTTGGGCAGTCTTTAGTAGAGCAGCACCAAAAGGCCGTTGTGAACATGAGTGTGCTTATCAGTGAGTTCCTAAGCGCCTCAAAACAAGCTGTATGTACAGCTGGATCAGTCGGGGTTCAGTATGTGGCTGCTTTAGGCTCAGGGGTATTCACAGTGTCTAACCATAGGCATTTATCTAGGAAGAATAAGAGGAACCTCCAAAGTTGTTATACTTTGTGCTCTGAATCATGCGTAAGTTAGATTCCCAAGGCAAATGGGAAATACACTTTTTCTTACCATTTTCCCAAGATAACTTTGCAGGTGCAAGAGAAGGTTGAGTGTTGGCACAGCTGTGAGTCATTGCTAGTGCGATTCTCTGCATAAAGCAGAAAGGACAAGTTCATGTTTGCTCTACTGCTTGAGACTGAACGAGGAGAAAAAATAAGGCACAGCATGGGGATGGATGAGGAAGACAGATTAAATGATGCAAGTAGGATGAGCGACAGTGGAGTCTGTATCTCTTGCTACTGGAGGACTTAACATAATGACCATATAGTTCCACTTTTATGTAATGTAGGATAAAAGTCTTCTTGAATGCCGGAGTGATCTCTGCTGTGTGATACTGATTTTTACCTGCCTGCTGATAAGACCCAAAAAGGTTGAACAGGAGAGAAGATATCTAAGTTCAATAATCTGTTGTTGACAGATCACAAATCTTCTCTGTAACCATAGTTCCCCCCAGGACATGTAACTGGAAACTCCAGGTCCTCAATTCAAACAAACACTATGGTTTCCCGTTCATTCTCTGTGTTAGACAACACTTCAAATGTGAAAAGCCTTGGAGGGCAAGGATTGCCTTCTCACACCCTCCTCTTAATCTGCTCTTAGTGTCACCTAGAAAGGAGTACAGCTAAGCAGTACTGTTTAGACCTGCTGCAAAGTGTATCAAAATACACTAAAGCTAAACTTCAGTGCAGTTTAGCTGCCTTGGTATGCCAATTTGTGGAAACCATCGTGCAGAGAGACCCTCTCTGGAGAACGCGAGGGGAGATGCAGTTTGCACGCTGCAATTACTGCTCAAGCCTGTTCTATGTTTAGAAGCAATCAGGATAATTGCTTATAACATAGAAGGCCATCAAAGTACTTCTTTGAGGAATATGTTGAGTATCGGTTAGTAGTGGTAGCTATAAAAATTTTCTGGTTTTTAAAATGTTTAAGAACCCTAGCAGAATTGACTAGAGATGTTGCTGGCAATGACTGGAAAACTATGCAGTGTGTGGTAAATGCCAAAGACTAGAAAAGTGTTACTGCTTTGCATTTTATCTTCAGTGTTTCAATCATTCTTAGGTAAAACAAGAGAAGTGGTTGATAAAAGATAGCAAAAAAGTAGTAGACAACAAGCTGCCCTCAATAATCTGGAGTGATAGGACAGGAGTTAGTGTGGTCTCTGGATGTATAAAACATGACTTAGGGTAAGCAGGCAGAGAGAGGGGAAACTTCTTTCAAGTTTTGGAGATACGTGTCAGTAATGGTCTAAATGTGTTCAGAGTGTGAGCTGCACATGCAGTTAAATCAGAAATTTCTGTAGTTACCAGCCAAGAGTGAAAGTTGAAAGAGTGACTGCACTCCATTACAAGTATTAGTTTTTTGCTACTGTGGAGTAGCTATAAAATAGACTTTATATCAAAAATCAAAGCCCATTCAGTAACTCTCTTCAAGTCAGGTCAGTTCCCATTCTTCCAGGTATTATGAGACTTGAAAAGGACAGGGGTGAAAAGTCATAGCAATGCAGGTAACTATGACATATCTGCAGTTCCTGGCTGCAGGAGGCAGTGACTCTGTGTGGCAGATGCCCAAATGAAGCTTGCTACGTTCTGTACATAACAAAAAAAGAGTGTTCATAAATTTTTTCTGGTGTTTTAGATGTAAAGTGGTTGTGGCCTTCACCCAGGAGCAAAATAAGACCCTAGCAGTAAATAATTTAGAAATTACTTAAGGCCAAGCTTTATGCCATGTGATTACTCAAATAATGTTGCTAACCCGCAGGCTCATGTAGGAGGCTTATTTGGAAAGTCTCAGAAGACCAAACTACACCCTTCACTGGGGAACATTCACAAAGGAGGACACCTGCTGAGAAGGTTTACAGTGCAGAATAAAGGAAATAATCCAGTACATCTCGTTAGCTGTTAGATCAGAGGGGCTGCCTTGCATTCCTATTAAAACCTTGAGGGCTGCATCGTAACTGCCCTGCAGCAAACCCCCTGCTCCAAGGCTGTCTCTCTACAAGGAGTGCCAAGTCACAGATGGGAGCAACATGTGACATCCCTTTATTTAACAGGGGGTTACTGGTATTGATCTCAGCACAGGCCTAAGTTTATTTTTCCAGTTATTTTCTTTGCTTAAATTGGAGAAAGTTTTCATAAGAGCTGTTCAGAGTTCTTAAAGAAGAATGAATGCATTTTCTGTATTTCCCAAAATCTGAAATGATGCCGATCTGTATTCTGGTTTGCTCTGTTTGGATGACGGGAAGTACAGAGAAACATAATGGAGCTAATACAATGTACCTAATACTAAATGGTCATCTTTCTAAATAGACCTACAACTTACTTATGTTGTATGTTACGTAATAACCTTCCCTGGGTATCCTTGCCACCATGCATCATGAATTGCATTTTCTGGCAAAAGTGTTTATACTGCATTCATATGTGTATGTTCTTCATAAGCAGCTTTTTTGTCTGTATTGACAGGTCTCACCAACTCATAATCGTCCTGCAGGGAGTGGAGAGCAGAAACAGTCCCACACAGTTCTTTCATCACCGCCTAGAGTAGCATTTGGCTTGAGGTATGGGACCATTAGCTCCTGCTGACAGACCAGCAGCCTCAGAACCTGGAGGGCATTTAGTAAATAAGATGTCAGTGGCCAAAGAAACAGAAAAACCACACCGCCAACTGTGATTGCAGTTGTCAGGCAGTTCCTTACTAGAATCCTTTAGAGTAAGTGTTCTGGACCTGTTTTGCTTTTCATTACCATCAAAGGTAAAGTTCAGGGGAAAAGTGAGTTGTTGCAAAATGAGAAAGGCAGACTGTGTAGCAAAACTGCAGGCCTTCTGCCAGGCGTGTCTGGAGTTCAGATGCAGATCTAAATCGCCCTGTAAAGCAACGCTGCCCAGATTCACTGCTCCAGCTGAAGCATCCTGAACTGCATTATGTGGCTTTGCTTTTTTCCCTGAAAGACTGGGCTGTCTTGTGTGTTCATCACCATTCAGTCAGTATGGTATTTGGCTTCAACTGAATTGTAAGAGACCGTATCTTACAATAAATAAGATCAAAGCAAAGCTTTTTATACCTTGTCTTCCTAGACATAAGCTACATTCGATTCCATTAAAGCTAACTGATGTTTGAATGGAGCCTGCTTTAGAAGCATTCAGAACATTATGTTAAAAAATCAAACTGACACGCTAAATTTCTTACAGTAAAGAAACTCCTTGTTTCTCACAGTCCTAAAGGTGACTGTACCCTAAAACAAGACAAAAGGAAGATTTCATGCTTTTCATTTTCTTCATGACTCTCAGATCATTGCATATGCTACAAACCAAACTTAGGATCTTCCCAATTCATGGATTGTGCCCATTAGTGAACATTCGGTACAAAAAATATATAGGTATGCAAGAGAGGAATCACCAGGCAATTCCCATGTGTGCCACACAGCATGTAATACAGGTATTAAACAATTCTGTCTGTACAGTTACTTGATTTAAAGATGACAGGACAGATGGCGTTGCTGTAGCGAGCGTTGGGTTACTTGTTGTAGCGTTGCTCCTCAGGTTTGCTGGCTTGCTATGTGTTGAATAAAAAAAGTTCCATTTTAACAGTTACTTTGATCATTTTCTAAATTTGTGACCTTTTGTGTGTGGTTATAAGATGGAAAACATGACAATCGTTACAGCTTTAAAAGCGGATACTGCCTACCTTGCTGACTTGGGGACAACAGAGAAGCAGCACACATGAACGTGCTGCAAATGAGGGCAAGGGTTAAAACTTGTTTTCAATCACTTTGTTGTTTTTCAGTCAAGGAGCTCAGAGCAAACCATGAAGGAAGGACTGGCAAACTTAGGAGCTGGTAGCTTTTCCCCTCTTTTGCATAGCTGCTACCTGCTGGTAGTCATGGTCCGCTGCTCAGAGCTCTGCAAAATATTCATACCACAGCTCTACAGCAAAGAGGACTTCTCCCTGACGTGACCTGGGCTGTATTGTAGAATAGCGATGACTATCCGTTACACCTTGGCACTTCACCGTGGCTAAAGTACCATTTATCTAGACTGGGTTTAGTCGCTGGCTGAAGTCAGGGCTGTATGTTCCCAGGACCATCCCTGGAGCAGAGGAGCCGGCTCAGCAGCTGCTGCAGAGGCTGTAGAAGCCAGGCAAGGAGAGGGACTGGTCGCTCGGAGCTGTGGAGTCACGGCCATATGTCTGCCTGCTTCGTCATCTCCCAGTTGACTCGAAAACAAGCCAAATCCCTTTGAAACGCCAGGGGTTCTCTGCCTGCTTCGCTCCATTGAGATTGTTGTCCTGATCTTAGGGTGATAAAGCAAAGCTACAAAAGCATCTCGTTAACAAGCTTCCCTTTCTCTCTGACAGGAAGCCTAGAGGGGAGGGGAAAAAGTGTCGGAAGGTCTATGGGATGGAGAACAGAGATATGTGGTGTACTGCCTGCCGATGGAAGAAGGCCTGCCAAAGGTTCATCGACTAAAGATTGAATTATGCAGAGGATTTGGGGATGGGGGAGGACAACAGCAGAACCAGATTGCTGCAGCCGCACTGTATCACTTCCCATTTTCCCTCCAGTGATGTGGTGTTGGGGGTTTTGGTTTTTTGGGGTGTTTTGGTTTTTTTTAAGAGCTTTGTATTTCAAAGTGAAGCACTTGTAGCCAAGGAGAAGCACTAATCAAAACCTGTGTGGAGCAATAGAGCAAAAAAAAAAAAAAAAGAAAAGCAAAACCAAGGACATACAACAAAATTCTGTCTTACTAAGTATGGAAACCAGAGCAGCTATTAGTGTTTTTCTGTAAAAGAAAGAAAAAGTTAATTTTTTTTGCTAACTCTGTGAGCTACCTGCTCCTTAGGGTCATTTTTAACCATTTCAGTCTCTGTGCTGTGAACGTCTGTATTTGCTAAACTGAACAATTTTTCTTTTCCTGAAACGAAGATCCCTTTTGAAAGCTTTCTAATAAACACTTCAGAGTCATATAAGCTACAGTTTTCTCAAAAAAAGCTGTACTAAGACTGGAGACTGCTAAATAATTCTCCTGATACGTATGATAATGATTATATTATATTTTTGGAAAGGGGGTGTGGGGAGGAGTTGGGATTTTTGTTTGTTTGTTTATAGGAGAAAAGCAAAGTCTGAATTTGCAAGAAGGACAGGCAGTGCTCCTGGAAGATTTTTAAACCAGGCACAGACCAGTGGAGTGGAACAAAGTAATTTTAAGTACCAAATTGGATTTTGATCCTCTAGAAGAAGAAAAGCAGCAATGGAGAGTCACCAGCAGATATTGTCGCAACAAGAAGTTGAGGGAAGAAATCCAGTGACGCTTGATTGAAACCCGTAAGAATATAATGGGGGGCCAGTAGCTTTTCTTACCACTCTCCCATTTCTGAGGGAGGATGAACAGTTGGACCAGCACGTCTGTTGCTGCAGGAGACCTGTAAAGAACTGGTAAATGCATCCACTAGGATTACATGTAGTACCTATTCAGGGACACGATCCAGCCCAGCAATTCTGTTCTTGCTTCCTTTTCTCTTATTTGAGAGACTGTTGTTAAGATAATGGTTTGCTCAGCTTTCCCCCCCCCCCCCCCTTTTAAGGGGCGAAAATTTTTTTGACACAAAAAAATGGTAGAGAAAAGAAAATACCCCCTTTCCTCAACATCACCTCAGAAAAAGAAGTACAACAGCAAAGGAGCAACGTATTTATGGTAAAAGTCCATTTCTTAACTCATTTTGATATACGAATTAACAAGTTTCTCTGCTTGCAGTACTTTGATAGATTTGGGTACTTCAGTTTCTCTGTCCATTAGAAAGTATACACCGGAATGTGGCAAGCTGGTGTCCTGTCTCAACTTATATTGAATTATCATTAATTAGTGATTATTTCAATGCAAAAATAAAATACAGATTTACTAGGATATGAATGTATATGCTTAAACAATACTTTCCTATTAAAGAAAAAAAAAAAATCAAAGAAAGACACAGAAGCAAAATTTTGCCTATTAATAGAGGCATGGAGGCCTGCAAATTCCTGGGTTTTTTTTCCATACCATTTGAAATTAGACCAGATCTTTTTCTCTTTTTTTTTTTCTCCCGCCCCCCCGGCTCATTCTCACTGAAATAAGGGGACTCTAGGTATCTAAACAGCTTTCTAAAATCTGGTCCAAAGTTCACTTGATAGCTTTATTAAGCGTGCATTGACGCTTATGCCTATGTAAAAACACAAAATAACAATGCAGTTGTTGAGAATATACACTATGAGTTCAGTAAAGTAGTACTGAGAAGTAAAATTTATAATAGGAGCTACCGAAGATTATCATCTGTTTTTCTTTGAACAAGTTAATTGGGCAATCAGTTGCCTAATTTGAACATGCTATTTCTGCAGTTGTTTACAAATTGTGTAATTTACATGCACAAGCGGCAAGATATGCTTGTGTGCACGTAATTACTTGATTTTTTGCCCAATTGTGTTCTCTAAGTCATTTAAAAAAGAAGAAAAATAGACTCTGAAATCTAGTAAGACCCTGAAATATATAAACATATGTGTGTGTATGAGCATTTATATATATATAAAAGACTATATATTATATTATATATATTATATAGGTTTATATATATATAAAATCTGGGATCAACAGGGAGGAGGAAGATTGTTTTCTTTATAAATATAAAAACCAAGACGCTAAAGGTCAGTGGATATACATAGCCACTGTATTATCTTCTTTCCTCTTAATAAAATGAGGGTCATGGGATTTTTTTGGATGTTGTATTTTTTCAATTTCCTTAGTAAAATACCTCATAGTAATTCATAGTCATTTCATCTTCAAACACTGAGCTTGCTGATGGTGTATTTACTTTGGTAGGACTTAGAAAATCTGGGACTTTTCCAAGATACTCCTGCCAATTTGCCCCCCCCCCCCCATTTTTACAAGCACTCCAAGACTAATTATAAAGCGTTCCATAATTAATTTGACTTTTGTTAGACTGACAGTATTTGCCTGTATATTTGTTGTTCCCCTCCTTTTATATTTTCCCTTCTTGCTTTGGAGGATTTTTTGAAAATAATGTATCAGATTGTATATTGTTTCTATAATGTCATGGCATTGTGAGCACCTTTCCCGAGGGCACTTTACGAATTATTGTAATAAGATTATTCTTTATTAATTTCTGCACGGAAGAATGGTTTTGTCTCCAGACCGGATTGCCCTCTGGTACAAATTTGATATGGATTACATATAGGCACAAAAGCCTCAAATCATCAAAACAGGATAGAAAGTTGGTGTTAACAGAACAGAGGACAAAAGATACTTGATAAATCCTGCCAGGACAAAGCTAAATTACCAGTATTTTTACACAACCTTTAATCAGCAGTTTATATTAAATCAGTTTTGCATCTTACGGCTGTGGCATTTTGATTCAAAAGTAGGCACTCCTCCAGTTACTGTGTCTCAACCATGGCCTGCGGTAGCGGGACGGCACAGCCGCCTGGACCGGCGTGAAGCGTTCACCAGTTGCTTCGTGCTTTGAACTGAGATTACTTCATGTTGCAGGAGCACTTCAGCGCCCGCTGAGATCCCCTTCGCCTTCCCAACACGCCCAGCAAGTACAGAAATGTCAGCAAAGCCTTTTCTGTGCTGGCAGTACTGAGTGTAATCTGGAATAACCTCTTCAATTTTCGGTCTCTTGTTTCTGTGTTGCTTTAAGCTGCATCACTGTCCTCCTAACATCTGACTCATCTCATACTTCTGCACCGGCCTCTCTGAAAGTCAGATTTCTTTGTTTTCCTAGGGAAGAGCTAGCCTGAATGCTGTGGTCACTTATTGTCATCAGTACACGCCATTTCCCCTATTTTTGGTTTCTCTATGGGAGGTAGGTCATTGTCTCTGACCTCCCGGAGAAGTTGGAAAGAACAGCCTGAATGCATCACACAGTCTCTGTGTGCTACAGCGATTTGGACATGGGTTCATTTATGTCAAGAGCCAGAACTTCCCCCTGAGATACAAAAATGGAAGGATCTATTTTATCGGGTTTAACCACTTACTAGTATTGATGCTGGTAACAGAAGTTGCCAACATCAGTATCAGAGTGGATATCAGCTGTATAGATCCCAAATATTTTTCTTCAGGAGTTTTCTTGCTGTAACAAAGCTATTTCCCACTTCCCCATTTACCCCATTCCCAAAAGATCTGGCAAAGGAGGTAATTTTAGAAGTGGGAAATTTTAATGGCAATTTTTAAAATGCGACTGTGCTCCAGCTGCTCCTGTATGAAGCTATTGGACAGCACAAACTCAGATCATCTTAGTCGTAAAATGGTTTCCACCCAAAACAATGTGCCTGATTCTCTAGTGCCTTGCACAAATGTAACAGGATACAGAAGATGCAAAGTGAGCAAAAACTCTTCCATTCCAATTTGCAGGTTTACACTTACTCTTAACCAATACCAGTCATCACCTAGCAGGTATCTGTTGTCATGTAAGCCAGACGTGTAAACCCTGCTTGTGTGAATAAGCTGAGCAGAATGCCTATCTGTTGAATTACTTTTTCCAAATCATTAGCCTGGTATGAACGTTGGCTATCTAATGATCTGCAGATTCCTTGCACGCATTTGCCATCACTGACATCACTTTCTTCATTCCTCTTCCCCTTCATTTTTTTAAGATAATGACTAGGTAAGCAACACAACAGGAGGCAAAGCTTTAGCCAAAAGTTCTTCATGTAAGAACGGATTCCAGCTCCATGCAATATCACAGATGTTCTTGTCGCTGACTTTTTGTTTTTTTATTCATTCTGATCCAGTGAGTCGGGATGTTTTTTTATTGCCTGCTATGGTCTGGGACCATCTAGAGTGGCCCTGCCAAGAATTCAAGACAATCACTGTAAGTGTGGCAATGCAAAGTGATTTCTTTTCTTCCCCTGCCTGTAAATATGTTGAAACACCATCTCAGAAACAGGTCATGAAATTAGAAGCTTGCTAGCCATGTGCAGAGATGTAAGAGGTTGCCAGTGAGGCTTGTTTCTGTTGGTTCAAACTTCAGTCATCTGTTGGAGAAAGTTGTGCTGCACCTTTTCTTAGAAACATTTTGATAAGGAAACGTTTGTAAAGTCTGATCTTGATCTTATTATTTATACTTGATTCAATCTTCCTGTAAGGTGGCAGCACTGGAGCTGAAACCTGTACAGAGTATGGGATTTAATCTGCATTTGTCAGGATTTTTCTAGTAGATAACTGCGGGCTGTTGCAAAGCACCGTAGCGTAGATTTTGTTCTAGTATAAGTTCAGGAGAGTTTTATGGCACCTTTAGCAAAATAGCTAGAAAGTAATTCATGAGCAAAAATTAATCAAGCTGAGGGTTTAAATACATTCTGTATCTGCTAGATGTAAGCGGCCCTTGTCTGCATCTATGTAGAGCTTGAAAGCCTTCAAGATTGCAAAAAAGCCAATGTACACTTATAGTTGATGGTGCCCCCTTGAACTGGTTTTTCCATCTAAGACTACAGTGCTTTTGCATTGACCACACTCTCACTTCTACCCAAATGCAAGATTAAAGAAGATGTGTATCTTCCACTTGCAACTTCTTGAGTTTATTCCTCAATAAGAAAAACACTAATCATGTTCTTTGTGCTTGACATGGAGCATTTCTAACAGCAGTCCAGAAAAACCCTGAAAACAGAAATCAGTCTGTTTCTGATGGCACCATGCAAATTAAAATATGGTTTGCTTGCTCATACTCCCAAAAAGAATTCGTTTG